GGTTCAGCCTCCTCCGAACTATGGGAGCTCTCACGTCTCTGCCTCTGCCGTTATTTTAGGATTAAAAGCTCTGTGGGTTAGAAACTTGCCTCTGCGAGGAAGAAAAAAAAGCACAACAAATGGTGGCTCCCCGAAGACTTTGTATTTCCCCCCCCGAGTCCCTCGTGGTTTAAAAGGCCTCTAATCATCACGGCTGCAAAAGCTGGGTTCCCCGCTAAGGCTGTGGGAAGCTAAAAGCAATTTATTAACAGTCTTAGAAGAAGGAGTTACTAGGATAGAAACTCTAGAACCACAAAAAAAGATGAGACTTCTTAAAGTGATAAAAAAGAAAGCACTGATGGGCAAATCAACCAACCAGAGCGGTTGGACCACCCGGAGCCCCGGTCCTGCTGTCGGGCACAGGGCACGGGGGGCTTGGGAGAAGGGTGGAAGCTTGGCCCCTGGACTAACGCTCTGCTGAGCACCTTGGCCGGCTGCAGCATTCCTAGAAAGGGAGTTTGGGTGAGGAAATGGGAGGCAGCTTGTGCCACTGGAGCGGGTCACAGCAGACGGGGGCTTGGAACAGAGAGCTGGGGTGACGGGGGATTGGGGGAGCTGGCACTGCAAGAGTTAAGGCTGAAGCCTTGGGTGCAGCGAGATGGAGAGAGCTGAGACTTGAAAGGTAACAGAAAGCAGCAGCTGGTTTTTTGATCCTGCTATACAGCCAAAGGAAAAAGGAATAATAATTCCTCTTTGATTGCGAAGGCCTCGGGATTTGGGGACAAAGCCTCTGATGCCTGCTGCACCGCTCGCAGACGATGGGCTGCGGCGTGGCCGGGCAGCGGCTGTTGGCGTGGGGGTGGCAGCCCCCCTGCCCTGGGCTCAGCCCTGCGCCGCAGGCTCCCGCGCTAACGAACTCGGTTTAATGGGCTCCTCATGGAGCCGCTCAGCCGGTGCCACCGGACGCTTTTTTCGCCTGGCCCTCGCCTTCTCCACCTTCCCGTGCAGGAGCAGCCCCGGAGCAGCTCCCGGGGTGCGCAGGGCAGCAGTGTCCAGCCCAGGCACAGCGGGACCCATCACAAGCAACCTGGGCAGGACTGGGCTAACTGGTGCCCAGCTGCTCCTCCGACTGTTGCTGCTTCCCACCATTTTATTCCCAAAACACCACAAATGTCCATTCCTAATTTGTGTCGTAATGTTTTGGTTTGTTTCTTGATTTCCCTGCAGCCTGCCCCTCCGATTCTGGGTGAACGTAATCAAAAACCCCCAGTTCGTGTTTGATATCCACAAAGGCAGCATCACGGACGCCTGCCTCTCTGTTGTGGCTCAGACCTTCATGGATTCCTGCTCCACCTCGGAGCACCGCCTGGGCAAGGACTCCCCCTCCAACAAGCTGCTCTATGCCAAGGACATCCCCAGCTACAAGAGCTGGGTGGAGAGGTGAGTGGGGCTGCAGGGCTGGCCTGGGCGTCTGGTCCTGCCCGACCTCCTGCACCGAGCAGCTTTGCTCGCGGTGGCCGGTGACGCAGCGCGGTGGCTCTTGCAGCGAGCTGGTGGCCCAGCTCAGCCCTGCCGAGCATCGCACTGTTATTTTCAGCTCGTTACAGACCAGGATCCCATTTTGCTAGACGTAGGCGTAAAGCAAAATGATGTCCTTTTTCCCCCGGAGCTTAGTTTAAATCCCAAGAAGACGAGGGGCGTTCGGAGCCTCCGTGTTTCTGATGCCCTGCCCTCCTGCAGGTATTACGCGGACATTGCCAAGCTGCCCGCCATCAGCGACCAGGACATGAACGCCTACCTCGCCGAGCAGTCGCGCCTGCACGCCGCCGAGTTCAACATGCTGAGCGCGCTCAACGAGATCTACTCCTACGTCAGCAAGTACAGCGAGGAGGTGGGTGTCCCCGGGGCGGGCGCCGACCGGCGGCACGTGCGGCGGTGGGTCGGGCAGCGATCCCCCGGGGCTCCTTCCTCCTCCCTCATCCTCGATGCTGCACCACTGTAGCGCGCTCTGTTGTGTTCATGCACAAATTGGTTCGGGTCCTGGCCGTGCCTGCAGCGTACTTCCCGGGGGATCGAGAGCTGAAATAGTCTGGGAGCAACCGCGTTCCTCAGCCTTGGCATACGCCCAGTGCAGCCCACTCCCAAAATGCAGTGGGAAATCGCCATGACCCAGCGAAGCTCCCCAGAAACATCCCTGTCTTTTGGGAACGGCGTGGTACAAATCCCACGTTGCAGTGTTGCAGGCTCCTGTTTGCAAAGAATCCCTGGCAGCGTGAGCTCCTTTAATGAATGCATCACTTGAAACCAAGTTCTCACCATCTGTTCCACCCCTCCATTTCAGTGTGAGAAGAACCTATTTTGCAATTATGTCCATTAAAAGGAAGGGTTTTGTCATTTCATTGCATGTATGCATTTGTGATACGATGCCACAGCTACCTTCCGATTAGGGTTTAAAAATCTCATAACTTTCATGCTAAATGAGACAAGAAATGTGGAGTCCAAGGCATAGGAGTGAGAATGGTTGCTCTGGGCGGGTAGCGTGCCCCGAGCAGTCCCGCAAACCCGTGAGCCCGGCTGCGGCGTGGCAAAGCGCTCGTCGCGTTGCTTTGCCCTTCGTTATTTAAGTTTCACACATCGACATTTCGAGTTGCTCACATCTTGCTGCCCGCCCGCCTCTCCCACCCCCTCTCGCACGCTGACTGCGTTCTCTTTTTTCCTCCCTTTTTATTTTTCCCGGACCAGCTCATCGGGGCTTTGGAGCAGGACGAGCAGGCCCGCAGGCAGCGTCTGGCGTACAAGGTGGAGCAGCTTATTGGTGCCATGTCTATCGAGAGCTGAAGAACGGCTGTGGTGCTCACGGGCGGCCGAGGGCAGAGGGCTGCGAGGACTCTCGGGAGCGAAGCGGGAGAACAAGCGAGAAAGGCGCTGGACACGTATAAATACCCCGGCTCTTCTGGAGGGAGCAGAGACTGGCCCAAGGACTGGCTGTGTTCAAAATCGTACGGGATCCGGCTTGAGAACGCAGGCAGAGGAAAAGACAAAGCATCTCAGTCAAAGTCAGATCAAGACGGATCATTTTTTCGAGCATACTTGGAAAGAAGGAACCTGGAAAGTCTGGATGTCTCCATGGCTGCTGCTTTGCATGAAAATTGTTTGATGTATATTAGAAACTCAAACTTTATTTAAAGCGGTTTTTTTTATAAAAAAGAAAGAAAAAGGAAAAAAAAAAAAAGAAATAGAGAAAAAAATCACAGAGACCACAGAGACAATCCCGGCCACAAGGTTCAGCTCTGAATCCTGTCCTCGAAAGACTCCCGAGGACGCGGCTCAGGCGTTCTGCGAACGGACTCTTACGCCAATTGGAAAGTCTGGAAAACCGGAATGTTCTTCTTCTTGGGATCTTACAAAAAAATATGAGCACAAGTTTGCACCACCACACCTTTTTACACAAGTAAAATAGCAGTTTAGCCAGAAAATAGTCCAGTGGCTGAGTAATTTATAGGCACTAGAAGGAACTTTACCTGAATTGCAAAACCATCCGATCATCCAACCTGTCTTGAAATCCAGCTTTATCTATGTATTTATAGAGTGTCAATATATATATATTTTTTTTAAATCCCATTTGCTGTTGAATGAGGAAAGATCTGATTTGAAGTGCTTTCCCCTCTCCACCGCCATTCGGCCTCGCTGGCCACCGCGGCGGCCCGGCAGCCT